CTACCGAGTGTCTTCAGTCATAACAAATGTGAAAATTAATGAAACTGAAAACTTCAAATTTTAATAACATTTTAATTGAGATAAAAGAGATCTCGAGATAATTTTCTGCAAATATTCGTCTTGTCCTATTAGTATTATAAAAAATACATATTCACGTTATGGACACAATTACATGAAGTAATTAACATGCGTTAATGTGCGTGACAATAGGAACACACTGTCATTCGAAATTTAAATTTTAATGGACGAATATCAGGAGAAATCTTAGGTCTTTTATATCTGAACTGGTATAATACATTCTTCGCACTCAAAGTGAAATGGGGGTTTATTTGATATTTGGTAAGAACGAGAGAAGAGTTCTAGTTGAGTGTAGCAAAAAACAAACCTTTTGAATATATGCACATCGTATATGCGTATGTATACGATAATTTACATGTTTTGGAAATGGCAAGGAAAAAAATGTTATCACGAAACATGCAAATTTCGAATTTAGTGTGCCTAAACAGAGGAAGAAGAAAAGTGGCAAATTGGAAGAGAATAGTCACACAAGAGTCAAGTTACATAATACATTATGTCGCAGTTTTACTGTGCGAGTCTTATCTTGTACTTACGGAAGTGCAAAGATTAGAAGAATGTTCCCCGCGATTGCATCGTCGAACACGGACAGTTGTGTTTGTTCACTATGTAATTTAAATGTAGAAAAGACCAAGAGTAAAAAAGGTTATACTTTGTACAAAAAATTTAGACGTTGTGTTCCCGAGGCAATGTTCATATAATACATGTAATCGACGTTGAAGGGAAAGCTGACAATTAGCGTTGGCATGGAGATTTTCTATTAAATATTTCCGGTGTTTTACCCTTAATCGCTACATTATCGATGATGACACAAAGCATTGTCATTATATTTCTTTTATTACATTTTTAACAATCACATCTTTTCGTACTGTCTATTAATCATCTTATTGAAAATTAGTGCATCGATTAGGATTTGAGTAACTTAAAAATTCTACGTTATCTCTATTTGCTTTCTAAAGGAAATAAAAACAAAGGTAACGTAGGTAATGTAATTGTAATGGAAGGCTGCATCGCAGTTGTAAGAATAAGGAAATATAACTTTAGACGTAACTTAATTTTCAACCTTTAAACAATGCTATATTATTTATCGATACATAGAATTTATCGCTGGTACCATTTGCTATACTTATTTCGTCTTTGCTTTCAAAAATGGTCTACGCGTATTTTCTCTCTCTCTCTCTCTCTTTCTCCCTCTCTTCCATTTCCTCTCTCATACCTTTAAGTTATTATACAAGACAAATTTCTTGAATTTCTTTTGCTGTTTGTTTGGTACTCCTTGTATACATTATTTTGTTATTATATCAATTAGATTACAATTAAAATGGTATACTCATAAAGTAATTATATAGGTACATTATTACCATTGCACATCCATATACAATATGTATATATATTTATATAATATATATATTTTTATAAGTTGGTTAGAGATTAGAGGATTAGCATTTCTCCTTTTATTCGTTACAAGGAATTATTATATGTTTTACATATTATACACTATTCCGGGTGCCATTTTTCTGTTTTCTTTTTTTTTTTTAAGGACCAATACCGTCTTGAACGATGAAACAGATCAAGAAACCGGAACGAAATCTCCGTCCGCACTCTCTACGTTATACAATCCACATATATGCTATTAATCTGCGTTAATTTACCGACTCAACGCTGCATGTGTACACACGTACAATAATTACATGTATTATACCGGCACTACTAATAAATATCATATACAGCTTTCTTACGAAACTAATTAGCTACTTTTCTTGAGCGTCGAAATTATATTCGCGGCAACGCACGAACGTCATTCAAACGATAAGATTTATGTAAACTACGATAAATATGACGCACATCTCTTTATTTGAAAACAAGGCTTCTCGAAGGTGCTTAGCCTAAACTTTCCTTCAACGTATTTTCTTGCATTTCTGAAGAATTAAAAACAATCCTGATACCAGAAAGTGCGCATTCTTCTAATCATTTTATATTGTATGCTCGAATGTCAATCAATTATAATACGTAGTTTCAGTACAGAGATTTTCCAGAGGGAAAGTTCGACCATTCAATTAATTTTTTTCTTAAATCCTTCTTAATAAAAAGTTACATTTGTTTAATTGTCTCCTCTCTCCTTCCTACAGCAATTTGAAGATATCTGTTCTAGTTTGCTCTTCTAAGTTACAATTTTATTTAGGGTATTTCTATTTTTGTCTTACGAGGAATATTGCACCTTTTTTTTCTTAAATGATGACAAAATGCTCGTAAGGAGAAACTATATTTTTGCGATAATATTTTTCTCTCGTTGTGACTCTAGAAAGAGTTCTAAGATTGTTAATTTCCAATCGTATTTCTTATAATTTTGCACGGTATATATTTTCCCGTTCTATATAAAAGCATACAAGGAACATCGAAAATTTTTAACGAGTTCCGGAATGCTCTGTATGTTCTTAAATTAAATTGGAGAAACATTGGTTTATACTTTCATATTGCGACACTTATAATGTATTTTTTTAAATCTTAAAGCAATGTTTCCCTTAATTATCTCGAAGTTTCCGCGAAAAAAGGAGGACTTTCTGCGATAGCCATCATTTATGTACAAATCTAAAAGGAAAGTCCCGCATATCATATTAAATTGGTCAAAATGGCATGATAAGTGCGATTATACATACATATATATATTGTATACACACACACACACATATATATATATATCTAATTTTTTTGCCATCTATCGGTTTGCGTGACTTTGAAGGAACACACATTCCTTCAAATCAATAACTCTATAAAAAGCTCTAAATTACGATATGTAACATAAGTTATTTATTCGATCATGATTGTTATACATTACTATCTGCCACGACAAAATAAAATAGTATATTCATTTCAGTGCTCCGCTTTTGCATTGATTAATCCTGATGTCGATCAGCCCTTAAATGATATCATCCGCCAATATTAACATTCACAAGCAACGTGTAATTACAACATTAATGTTGAATCAATAACGCGTAAATATACTTATAGATATTTATTTTAATATTTCTGTCTTATTATATATATATATATAGAGCTACTATTTTAGCTTATTTTAAGCTATACATATTGTAAGGTACAGTTAATAATAAGCTAAGAATCTATCAATTTACAGTGCATTTAAATTTCATAGTTTTTGGCAGAATTCTTGTAACATAATGTGCGTCAAAAAAGGATAATTATTTAAAAATAATTTGAATTAGACACATTTGACAAAGTTTGACATATAATCGAAACCGATCATCCATAAAATTTAACTGGAAGAATCTTCTACGACTATCATTACTCACATTAACTTTGTTTCTTCATTACAGTAACTTTAAATTTGCTTTACTTGGAATTAGTTAGCTGTAAGTATAATGTGACTTGTATTTTCAGGGCTTCATTCACTCTTGATTTGTTGTAACAAAATATAGTTGCACAGTAAAAAGCGCAATTAAGTTTGCAATTAAACTTTCTCTGACGATTTCATTCAAGGGTGACCGCGTGCATTTATTGAAAAGAAGCAATACACGTTATTCTCTCACCTATGTCACACACCTTCCTGTCATGATATACTCCGCCTTTATTTTTCCTAAATATTACATGTAGATCTCACAAAAAGCGCGAATAAACTTTATCTTTACAGACTTTTTTCACCTGTACAGAACATTTCTCGATATTATAAGGACAACTATTACATTATTCTACGATTATTATTTCCTTTACAATTTATTGTTTATATGCCAAGTCGGATCAACAGAGTTTAAAACTATATGTATATAATATATTAGTTAATTATGTAGGCAATTATTCACTGGGAGGGGGGGGGGGGTTTGTGCTAACATCAAAGCTATACTTTTTACAGAAATTGTCGCCGAAACAGGGAAGACCATCACATTTCACGAATTACTTGAGTTATATATCGTATCGTTATGATGAGCTTTCAAGACTTATAACGCATCGTGCGTGATTGTATTAAAATATTGTAAATGAAATTAATAAACTGTGTTATAATGAGAGTTTATAATTGTAATACTTTTAGAGACAATTTTCTTAACATTTATATAATTGCACATTTACCTTTCTCATAATTTTCCTTCTTTTTGAAGCAGAAAAGTTATCAGAGAAGCAAAGCACGGGCAAACTCGCAACAAACATATGACAAGTATCAACCCTCTTTCATTAAGTGTTCAAAATCCAATTCACATCGCGTATATAATTTCTCTCTGCATTCTCTCTCTCTCTCTCAAAGTCATTGTAAACACACCAAACCATTGCACACATTTACCCTCCTAATTCTACTTATCCCTTCCTAAAATCTATACATGCAATGTTTAACTGTATATATGCTTCCATTTTTTTTTCTCTTTTGCTTAGATACACAAACGCCGTTCTGGATCATACGACGGTTGGATTATGCATATTTTGAGATCACGAGCTGGAAAAGTCACGTCTTGGTGCAAGTTTCCGTGAAGAAAAAACTTGCCCAAAATCCGTTTTAGAAATACCAAATTCAAATGAATCTCCATACTGCAACTCGAAAAGCTTTGCGCTATTTCAAAGTGCGAAAATTTCATTTATACTTGTGAATATTTTGCGCGCATCTTTTCATAAAACTTGCCGCATCATGACGAACATTTGTATCTGCGAAGAAGTGTGTAATACATAAAAGAAATAATTTTAAGATAACGTAATTAACTAAAGTTACGTAACTTAGTAAGTTACGAACGTAATCGATACATTTTGACTTTATAAGAGTTGTGATACAAAATAAAATAAAGCTGTTTGGTAATATTTGTTACTATTATGGTTTGTACGTTTATATTTTCATTATAGAGAATTCTTTCCATTTTTTAAACTAAATATAAAAAATAGGCTTTTTTTTACTTCGGAAATAAATATCAAGTACTTTTTTACGGTAAAAAAATTATTTTTCATTAAAATCCCGAAAAAAGATATAGAATTCATTTTTTTTTAATATTCATTGACAATAAGTTTAATATCTACATTATTTCAATATTATTTAATATCTTTTGTCTTTATAATTTTAAACATTAAGGCGAAACCGTGTTCATTATAGGTATTGCAGTTGCAGTATCCATTATAATAATAACATCTTTTCGAAATCGGATCTAACAATAAATAATATATTTCACGATCATCGCTATTTAATAATTATGTTCACCATTGTACTTTGATTGTTTACAATGTTTACAGGTATCTTTACACAGAAATCTTTTGGATAAATGCAAAAGTTAAAGACTAGAAACAATAATATGATGTAGAAAATATTTTGGTAAAAAAACTTTTAGGATCAGAATAAAAAACTGGTTTTTACTGAGTTTTTTACTCAAATTTTTTAGTTTTTTCGGTCATTTTTATCTCTAGTTGAGAATGACAATGTTTCAATCAAGTCAGATTCCGCTGAACAGAAGATTCTATGAGACATTCGTGTAAGACTAATTTACGTCGCCGAAGATCAGAGCAATTAACGGGTGTACTTATGAGTATTATATTTCAACGTTCATAACACCACAATAATCGGTAGCGAACCGAAATCATGCTTAAAATCTATCCCTAATCTAAACCTTATCAAATAACGCATGATCGACGGCGAATTCTTCCGTGTCATACGATTCTCTTAATAGCTAGGGACTAGAATGAACTCTTACGACCTTTTTTGCCGGTTGAGAATGTCAAAGTAAAATTGAAAACACAACTGAAACTTATGTCTCTAATTACTTAAATATCTTATCTTAGATATACAATATGAGATTACACATCAGACTGTATGTAATTAATGGAGATCTCTCTGTATTCACGTGTACGTCTACAGTATAGAAACCTCTCATAATTATATCACTAGTACAGTCTTAATTCTAATATTTGGTGATGCTGCTTTTCTGCCACAAGTCGATACCGTTATACGTATCGACCGAGAAAGATGAAAATAAAACGATAAAAACATAAACTTATGTCTAGTCTAGAATTTTACAACGCGCTACCACTACAAGCACTTGCAGATTATTCATGATATTATTATTGTTAACTCTTAACGAATATTGTTGGGAAACTAGAGAGATGATTTTTCGCAAGAAATGCATGTTTCCATCGC